GCGAATGGTAGTTGCTGTGGGCTGCGAGTAGGCATAGCGAGGTTCACAAATCACATAATTTTAATGATTTATATAAACTTTGTCGCAGTTCATAGTATAGAATTTGTACTGCTTTCGCTTTACATCGAATGTCAAACATTTAAATTGTCAAAAGTTAATCAAATTGTCCCTTAATAGAATTTAAAGAAATTTATATCACTAACGTTTAAGGAAAAGCTTAAATTTTCAAATTTGAATTTGGATATATTTCATACATATTGAATTTTCTTTAAGATAAATGCATTAAATTTAAGCTTACCATAATTTTGAGAGGAGCACACATAAGACAACAAACTTTTTACCAAAATTTTAGGCTTATCATAATTTTGGTTTGGCTTTTTTTTTTTTTAATAATTTTGGTTTGGCTTGATGTGCATTGAATTGTATATCTAAAGTTTCTATCATAAAAATTACATTTGAAAATTAAGCCCTATGTATGTTGCTTGCATATGGATATGAGGCCAATTTTTAAAAGAAGCATGTTTAACATCTAATTAAGTAAAAGAAATATAATTATTAAAAACTTTTAAAAGGAGCAAATTCGTAAAATTATTTGGTGCAATCAAAATACGCCAATTTGCTCCTTATTAATTTTTTTAATAATTATTCTTCTTTTACTTAATTAGGTTTTAAATATCCTTCTTTTAAAAATTCAGCCTGAGTTAATTTTAGTAAGTCATTTGCCTGATATTTTATATTTTATAATTAAAATATTAAAAAAATTAATTATTAATTTAAAAAAATTACCTTAAATAGCCTTGAGAAAAAACCATGCTAGCTCAAAATCATTAATTTGAGAATATATGTTGTATGATTTATCACAACAATTAATTATGTACAAAGTTTTCATTACAATAAATATCAACTTACATGACAATGATGGATTACCAAGTTAAGTTATTTCATGGATTCAATATAAATAAGGCCTTATCTTAATATTTTTTGAATTTTTAAAATTAAGTTTTACAATAGGTTCAACAATGTTAAAATAGTATGAAAATAAATAGATATTTTTCTACAAATTTTGAGGAGAAGAATTTTAAGATTTTTAAAAGCTTTACTCTTAGATATGACTTCTTGACATAACATAATCAAGTTAGTTTTAAAAATTAATTAAATAATATGATCTAGATTTTTTGTATTTCTAAATAGTTATATGTGACTTTTTAAGATAGATGATCATCATCATCATGTGAATTATTTCCTAATAAGATATACAACCTATCATAATCATAGGCTAAGACCCGAAATGATAAGGTCAACTTACGTAGTTAAGTCCTTATTAACTTCATGCATATATAAAATGTAATTAATATGAAGGAGAGATAACTAAGAATATCAACTATCAAGTGCAAGCTTCAAGTGTTTGAATATGCTACAAACACTTTAAAGAAAGAAAAATTTTAAATACTTATATAGAGCTCCAAATGCCTAGAGTATAGGATAAGTCCAAATCGAAACTGTTTACTTGGAAGTAAAGGAGTAAAAGTGTTAAGTTGAATAACATGGTGTAATGAAATACTAGAATTACCTCATTGAAAGTGAATGATTAAATCAGGATATAACACAAATAAATATGATATGACCAAGTCCTAAGAGGTGTTTAAAAGGAAGGCATTAGGTCAAGAAATACCAAAGTCAAAAGAGCATGACCTTATTAAAGGAATGACTTAGCCAAAAAAGCATGGCTAAGAAAATGGTATGCTGAAATATAAATATATGATTAGCTTGGATATACACTTGGTCAAAAGAGTATAATCAAATAATAATATTATAGCCAAAAGAGCATAGTAATATTAGAGACAGATTTGGTCAAAAGAGCATGAACAAATCTAAGGTGAACTAACTCATAAGTGCATGACTAAATCAAGATTAGTATAATCAAAAGAGCATGAATAGATTAAGATTGACATAGTCAAAAGAGTATGACTACTTCGTCAAAAGAGCATAGCTACTTCCAAGATAAATCTGGCATAAAATACGAGGATGAGTTGTACATTAAAAACGGCATGCATATACTATGAATAGACTACATCAAATGTGAATGATTGATTTAAGAAAATTCCGAGATAAACGAATATGAGTGAAGGAAATATATAGTACAATCAAAAGAGTGTGACAATCTAAATATAAATTTATCAAAATTAGAATTGTTAAGTTCAAAAGAAGCCTAGTACTGAAAGGGAATGAATAAATTATGAAGTCAAAATTAATTTAAGAAATCAAATCATAATGATGAAATGCAAGCTGGTGATGTATAGTAAGATGAATCAAAATGGTGTCTAGAAGTGCTTCAACGGGTATTTTTACATATAATATCATATAGACCTATGGAGAGTTAGGATAGACTATCCCAGAATATTGTGTAAGCTATCATAAGATGTGTAGCCCCTACTAGTCAACCCAATAACTGTGATTGGCTAAGCAATGTACTGAGAAAGTGATGTGTAAAACTTGATCCATATCAACTAAACCTAAATATAGGTCACAAAATTAAAATCAAATAAATCTAATTAAGAGGCTATAATACAATGCAATGACTATATGACCCTAGATTTGTGTCAAAATACAACAGCTGAGCACAAAATACATATGACTGAGAAATATTGTATGCTAAAAAGCTAATCAAGTCAGGTTTAATAAGGGTCAACCTTATTTGATTTGCAGATCATATAATTATGTACATTATATTTTAGATAAGAATTTTCTTGTAAGTAAACCTAAATCAAATAAAAAAAAATTTAATACTTTGAAATTCTCTAAATTAACTTTAAGAATTCACTAATTTTTTTAAAAAATATTAAATAATGAAATGATAATTCAACCAATTCCAAAAATACTAATATATGAATGAAATTAAAGTTAAAATTTGATATTTTTGAAAACCAATATTTTAAAACTTAAAACTCAAATTGTAGGTCCAAGTCAAAGTCAAAATTAACCATGATTTCCTTAATTAAAGAGATACATAGTTTTATCACCTTTTCACTTATGCCCACACCTAGATCAAATTTGTATTTAAACCCCCACTAAATCTTACTATCATATAAGCTAGTCTTCTTCACATTTTGAGTAGGTGGATAAATCTCTTTTACACCAACTTCCTCCTCAATGAATAATATATACATGCCTTAAATTTTTTGCTCAAAATAAGAAATAAACTACTCATAAAAATTCCCATTAAATCATAATATTCCTACATTAAGATGAGGTGCGTAACACTTTCGGTCATCTCCATTAGGCCATATTGCTCATACTTTAATGTACAATCCAAACAAAACTCAAGTTATTCTTAAAACAAAACTAAGGATTTGTTTGAGACAGCTTTCAAAGCAGCTTTTTAGTACAAAAATTAAAATTTAGTATGATAAAGTTGCTTTAAGAAACAATAAGAAAGCTATTCCAAACGAAACCTAAATCTCACCTGAGCCTGGGAAGGGACTCAATGCTATTATATTCAATTATGATGTATATAATATCTTATACAAAATTTAATTACATGATGAACATCATAAAAGAGCATATCAAAATAACATGTAAAATAAAAACATGAAAGAACACTTTAAAATTGTTAAAAAAGTTTTGAGAAGATATAAAAAATATGAAGCTTTCTCCAAATTTTCTTGAAGTGATCTCACAATATAAATTCACTTTTTTTATAATATGCATTTTCTTATGGAGCTCTTAGGTCTACATAACCATTTAACACAACTAAAAATATGCCCAACTAGTAAACAAATGTTATAGTTTTCTTAATTAATCATTATTAGTAACTATTATAATTAAGAAATCATTCAAGATTAGAACATTTGGGCATATTGTATAGTTTTTTTTTTTATAAATCTTATAATCTAATGATTGTACAATACGACTTATATCATATGTCATGATATATATATGAATGATATATTCATTTGATGCATTGAAATGACTAATTTAATATCTAGTTGATACATGAATATATTATTTAATCATCCATCATATTATATGATAGCATCATACGATCCCTAACATTATATAATACATATATTATTATATGATCTATATAGTAACACATGTTCCATATACTAATTAATAAGCGATTCATATAGCGTTATATGATTTATATTGTTTACTATAAGATTGACCTTAACTATAAGCTTGGAAGCATGATCTATAACCCTCAATTTTAGAATTCTTTATGGTTTACAAATTCAAAATTTATAAATAAGAAAAATTGAAGTCTTTTTATAAATTCTGAGGGAATAATAAATGATAATATTTTCTATTCAAATCAACAATGAATAATGCACTGTATCACATACTTTTATAATTAAACAGTGGGTGAATGATTAAAATCTTAGCTTAACGTGATCAATCAGGTTCGATCAAAGTTTGGTTGAGTGGCTAACCAATGACTTATGATATGATAGTGCATAGCGACTGACTGTCGACAACAATGACATAGATTAGCGAATAAATCCAACAAAATTCATATTTTGTAATTACATTGATCAAATTGATGAGAATTATATATTAAGATTTAAGAATCGAATTAAGGAAATATGAAAAATAATTATGAGAACTTTTTTGGATGTTTTTAGTGCTATAAGAATCCATTTTTAACTACTTTAATCTCCTTTAATATCAAAAATCATTTCTAAATTTTTAACTTGAATTAGTTAAACCCTGAAAATGCTTTAAGATTCGTAATTTTACATTCAATTTTATATTCGAGTGATGAAAAGTTAATTTTGAGCTTAAAAGTTTATAAAATTTTTAGGGATAAGAGAGCTTATTTACCATAAATAATAGCGAACGGATTGCCATCAAAATCATACAAAAAACAAACAATATGCCACTTTTCTCGAAATTATTGCTCGCCGGAAATTATTGCTCGACGGCCACGCATTTTTCCCCAAACCACCCTGTTTTTTTAAATATTTAATATTCAAATTACATATATAGCCGCAAACTTTCTCTCTGTGGTCCTCCACTTCTCGTCGTGCTCTCAAGCTTCAACGTCGTTCTCTTTCTCTCTCCTCTCTCTGCATCTGCGCTAATAGATTGGAGTGGGGACTTGCGAGGGAATCGGATGAGCTGAGGATGGCGTACCACAACCACCTGGCTCACGAGATTTCTTTGCCGCAATTCGCCGAACACCATTTGGGCGACCAACCTGCCGGCATCCACCTAGTTCACCCAGCTTCCAGCAACACCGGAAAGCCGTCGGGAGCTGATGCCTCTGCCGCGCAACAGCTCTCCGGTGGCCTAACGTGGCTAAACAGTGCCATCCTCCGGCCGCAGGGCCACCAGTTCCCCGACGGCCGCTTCCTCCACCTTCAAACCTCGTCCGAGGGCCACTTCCGAAACGGCAACGATGACGTTCCTGTCTCCAGCGACTCCATGATCGCCGCAGCGATGTCGGATCCTGCCGCCGCGGCCACCGGTAGAGAGGGGGAGACGGCAACGGTAGGCGGCGACGGTGGGGAGCAGCAAGCGGTGGAGGGGACGTGGCAGAACGCCAGGTATAAGGCGGAGATTTTGGCGCACCCGCTCTACGACCAGCTGCTCTCGGCTCACGTGGCATGCCTCCGCATCGCGACTCCGGTGGACCAGCTGCCGCGGATCGACGCGCAGCTCGCGCAGACGCAACGCGTTATCGCCAAGTACTCTGTCCTTGGCGCTGAACAGATGATCTCAGGGGAAGACAAGGAGCTTGATCAGTTCATGGTCAGCTTCTCCCTCACGTTTCCCTTTTTTGTTTCCTCTTTTTTTTTTTGTGAATTGCCTTTCCTTTTCGATTTAATAATTGGGATTTTGAATTTTTTTTTGCAATTTTTTTGGTGTAATTGTTCTCTGATTGAGCTACTTGAGATTTCAGTTCAGAGATAACAAGGATTGCTCTGTTTTAACAACGTCTAGGAAATACCATATCTTACTCTGTGTGTTCTTTTTCCTTGTTTTTAGTTTTACGTATTGCGGTTCTTCAAGTAAAGGCAATTCAGTAATCTTTTTTACTTTGTCTTCTTCAAAACTAAGCTGAGTATTTGGAGTGTTTTTCTAAACCTGGCTTCATCTTGGCGCCTCTCTGCCCTCTCAGGTTTAATCAGTTTATGATGGATTTCAATTCTGTTGGTTATTGTATTTCGATTATCAGTTCGTTTTTTTAAAAAAATTGTTTATGGGTTGCAATTCCTTTGATAATTGTTCTCTGAATAAATTCCCTGAGACTATAATTCTTAGATTTAGGGATGATAAAGATTGTCCTTTTTAAACAAAGATTAGGAAATGCAAATGTCTGTTCTTTATGTAATTCTCCTTCCTAACTAATTTTAGGTGTTGTGGTGCTCCCATTAAAGGTAATTTATGGATCTCCATTACTTTGTCCCTTTCCGTTGAAAAGGAATTTTACTAGCCTGAGAGCTAGATGCGTTTGAGGCTCTGGACCACCCTCTGACCTCTTCAATCTTTGCAAAATGTCGTTTTGGAGTTTAGCATTCCTTCTGCTGCATCAATAAGCTTTTCAGCCGCATGCATTTGGTGCTGTTCAAACAAAAGAGAAAAGCCGGGAAGGAAAATGACTTTCTGATGGAAGAGAAAAAAACATCTGAGATCGGGTCTGTAGCCAGAGTGGCCAAGGGAAGAAATTCCTCCTATCTCACCCGAGCTCGAATCCCCTAACCGTCCCAAAAAACAAAATCTGACAATCTTTTCTAAAAAAAAATGCTGGCTTGATTAAAAATTTAAATCCCTAGTTGCCTGCTTTGATTTGCAGAGCACACAGCTTTTCCTTGACAGTTTATGTATTAGCAATTTTTCATCAATTACCAAACATCAAGAACTTGCTGAATCAGTTAGCTATTTTGAGTTAAAAGGGTTCTTACATATAAAAAACAAGAGATTGTCTCTAGCGAGTTAGTGTATAAAACAATTACATCATGGAAAGGCAAACCACCTTTCTCATGGTTACTTTTTTTTTTCCTTCTCTGGCTTATTATTAAGACCATATATGCTCCACCTGTCTTTCTTTCAAGAAAAAAAAAAAAAAAGTTAGTGGCAATGGGCTGCACCTGTTTGTCTCTTTGGCATATAGATCACAGCCTGTGGTAAAACTTTATTCAGGGCTGAAAGTCCACTAAGGTTTTTCTGTTTGCTTCTTCATTGTTAACTCCTTATTTGGTGAAAGTCTTTCCTTACATGAAATGTATCAGGTTCTATTTCATCTGTTATTGTTGATTTTGTTACTTCACTTTTCTAAATTTGGATACTCAAATGTAGAATATGGTTAATACCAGAATGACTTCTGATATTGTGATTTTGGATTTTGATTTTACTTTCTTAAGTGAATTATGTAAAATCCAAGTACGATTACTCAAATTTGCAGTATTGTCAATGTTGAGATGAATTTGGACATAGCAATTTTCGGATTTGAATTCTATATTTCTAAGTGAATTACATAAAATTTGAATCTAGATACTCAAATGTACAATCTATTGAGATAAATCTGGTCGTATTATTCTTCATGTTAAGATAATTCTGTAAAACATGGATCCAGTTATTCTATCATACAGTATTTTTACTTTTGAAATGACTGGGTTTAACTAATACAAAAGAAGAGATAAGTGATGAAACTCTTAATTTTGGTGGAGATGGACCTGGGACAATCAGAGAAGTAAAGGTGGGCACAAAACCCTTAAAAAGTTAAGCATGACAAAGGCAGAGGAGGGATGAATGATAGTCACGAGAATGGGTGAAATGATTACGGATGGTGATTCCGAGCAATTAAGGATAATTTTTGAGCAAGGAAAAATGATTCTAGCAGGAGACTATCTAATATCACTCGACTTTGGATGTTCCCTATTGATTGTTGCTTGATGCTTACAAATAATTAAAAATTGATGTATGTTAGCCACTTACATCTTACACTCATCTTCCTGGTTAGCCGACCTCCTCTACTTTAGGAGAATAACCAAACTGACTATCCACTATTACTCTATTTCCAACGTTCCTTATTGATTGTTATTCAACAATCGATGTCTGATGTTTGTTACCATCATCCCTTATAAATCATATGTTTGATCACCCAATTGCTCCTTATTTGGAGAATGCCCAAGTCAACAGTCCAATATCTAGGTTCTGACATTCCCCATTCCCAGCCCCTTAATGCCTTCAATGATTGACATCATTTAGCCATTGACATTTGACACTCAACTTTTCGATTGTTGGATCTCTTCTACTATCTAGAGAATGACTGAGTCAATCTCCTATCATTGCCTAACAACCAACTTTCCTTGGCAATCAGCATCCGATGCCGTCAAATGATCAAGGTCCATCGGTAACCAAGGTCTAACGCTTTTCTTTGTTGTCTCCACTCTTCTTTGTCTCCCTTACTTTCTTGAGAATGACAAAGGTGACTAACCATTGTCACATGATTCTTATGTTCCATGCTAATCATCAATTTATGTTGTCCATAACTAGCATTTGACAAACCATTGATGGTCAATGCTTACCTTTCTAATAGCTTAATCTCCCCTCCTTCTAGGACGAATAAATAATCTAACCACCTTGACTTCCAATATTTCCCATGGACAATTATTATGTATGTTAATGATCAATAGTTGACATCTACCAGCTTTCGATGTTCGACGCTTCCTTTCTGGTCACATGGACACCCAATTTTTTCCTCTTATTAGGAGAACGACTAAATCGATTATCCACTATAACCTAACTCATATGTTCCCCATCGATTATTGCTTGACTTCTACTAACAACCCACAATCAATTTCATTTAGTCACTAACATCTGACACTCCTCATCCTGGTCACTTGGTTTCTTGTCCTATCAAGAGAATGATAAAAAATACCATCTACTAGTGCCCAACTTCTTATGTTCTCAATCAATCATTGCCTAATTGCTGCTAATGATCGATGTTTGTTAGTCACCAAGGTCTCACACTCATCATCCCAATCGCTCGGCCCCCCTTCCTATCAATCGCCGTTGCTAGACTTTCAACATTCCTCATTGATTGTTTCCCAGCACGGCAGCACCTATTAATGATCAACGATCATAACAATTAATGTTCGTCAACCACCAGTATTCATCTCATCGTTATGGTCAATCGGTCTCCCTTTCTATTAGAAGAATGATCAATTTGGGTATACTTTATTGCTCTAACTGACATTTATAATTGATCATCATTTGATGCCATCCAACGACAAACTTTGATGGTCATCATCCCTATCTCCCCTTTTATTAGGAGGATGATCAAGCCAACTGCCTTATCATTTGATTTTTGGCATCCAACGTTAATTATCATTTGACACTCATCATCTACGGGAAACTACGACACATAAATATTCATCCTACTATCACTACAAAAGATGCCTACTACAGTTCAAGTTTATATCAATGTATTAATATCTTCTCTAGTTATGATGAAGAATACCCTTTATAATCTTTGATTAATACTAGTGGAAATATTTAAAGTAGGAAATGTCACATGGATTATCCCATTGGCAGGTTTTTAATGTAAAAAGTTTGTTGTCTCCTGTGTGCTCCTCTCAACTTATTTGTGTTAGAATCTTCATCTCTTAAGACATTAAATTTTTTATCATTGTGAATTTTTTCAATATAAAATAGTTTTGATTTGTCTATTGGAAATGTTTTCCACACTTGTTGATCAATAATTATAAAAATCAATGAGTATCCACAAATCGGCATCTCAAGATCCCTTATTTGGAGATTTTAAACTAATCAATCTTCATTTGCTAACCTTCCATTCACAAAAAATTCGAAACATTCCCATCTTCCAATCTATCTTTCTTATGGAACCACAAATTTTTTTGGATTTTTTAACTTCATATTTGACTATAAAAAACTACTAAAGACAACAAAGTCATAATTCTAGTCATGTAAGCCTAAGAATAGAAAACTCCTAAAAATTTAATCAACAAAGTTTCATATCAAGAAAATTTGGGAGAATGACACACATGAGGGATAACTACAAAGACAAAAATATAGTTGAGAAGTCACAAAATGTTGAAAAAATTATATGAAAACGTCAAAGTTCTTGCGAAATTCAATTATATGTCAAAATCTCAAATCATTTTCAAATTTATACACATCAACATTTGATGTAAAGGAGACAATCATTATAGATCACAAAATTGATCTAATTATGCATAAATTTTGATGCAATTTTTAATCTCAAAACATAAAAGTATTTGAGCCAAGAGCTTAAAGAGTTAGTTCCAAGATCATCCAAATTCTATTTTTAGCAAGTTGAAATAGTGTGAATTGACTAGATGAATCCAACATAACCAATATTAAATGAATTCTTGTCCGAATGGGCCTAAATCAAGCACTCAAAATTTTAGAAAATTTTCAAGGCTATTTAAGGGCTTAAATGTTGTCTAAATTTATCTTGCTTATAGTTAAAATGACTATATGGATGAGACTAATCTAACAAGTTTAAAATCACTCAATTATGAGGTCATCAAGACATTAAATTATCTAAAAATTATGAAATGATTAAAGGGGTCTTATTTAAATAGTTTGATAAAGCATTCAAGATTCTAATAGAAATGACTAGAATGCCCTTCCAAAAATTATAAATAGGTATTATTTCTATACATTAAGAGAGGGTTTTGAGTGGAAAGACCTTCGTGTCACCAACCACATCCTGTCCATCATTAACTATTGACTAACAACAATGCTAGCCTTGATACTGTCACCCACCTACAATTACCACCCATCAATCACCATTGTGCGCCACTCATTGACAACTATTGATCGACAATGACACCCTCCATTGTCAATCTACCAACATCATTACATGTCATCCATTATCGATTGTCAACTGATAATGATGTTTGTCGTCAATCACCACCTGAAGTCGCCTTCCACTCAACACTATTCGCTACATGATGCCAAATATAGACTGACAATAGCATTCGCCATAAACAATCACTTGATACTTGCCAATAATCAGCATATCATACACTAGTTATTGATATTTGGAGCTTATCTTCTAACCCTTTTGAACTCTCCTCTTATTAGTAGAATGGCTTAGTCGACCTCTCATTATCATCCGACTTTTAGCATTCAAGATGATCATCCATTTTCTTCAAAATTCTAATGTCTGTCGAGTGTCACCCAACACCGACCAATGCTAATGTCCAACATCCATTAGCCACAAATGTCAAATGCTTGCCTTCTATATTACTAGATCAACCCTCTTTTTAGATGAACAACCAAGATTATCTCCCACCATCACCTGACTTCCTATGTTTTTTGTGGATAGTCACCTAACTCTTGTCAATAATCTACACATAATATTCGTCGGCTTCCAACATCGGACACTTTTCTACCTAATCATATGGTCTCCCCTCCTATTAGGAGAAAGATCACATTGAATTCCCACCATTGCCTAACTCCTAAAATTCCTTATTCATAGCCCCCAGCACTTGGCAATGATTGATGAACAATGTATTTCAACCAACGATGTCTAATGCTCTTCATCTAGATCACCCAATCTCGTCGGCTTCCTATGAGGTGAATGACTGAATTGAATTCCATTTTTTTTTTACTTTGACTTCATCCATTGATTGTTGCCTCAACACTTGCTAATGACTGATAATCAACATCCATTAGCCACTAACATTTGACTCTCTTCTTCTCGATTGTTTGTTCTCCCTTCATATTCATCTTGAGAATGACCCAGTTGAATACCCTCCATCACCTAACTTCTGAAATTCCATATCAACCATCGCCTAGTACTTGCCATCAACCAACAACTAATATTTGTTAGCCACTGAAGTATGGCGCTTGTCTTCTCAGTTACACGGCCTCCCCTCCCATCTAGATGATGACCAAATTAACTGCCTATCATTGTCCAACTTTTAAGATCCACTATTACTCATTACCCAATAACAACTCTTACATCTCAAGACTCCTGCTAGCACCATTGTAAGCTTCTTCCATGATTCAATTATGTTATATTGTATTAACGCCTTTCTCAATTTTGGGGAGGGCTTTTTGCAATCCTTAACTCATACTAATTGAATTATTTCAAAAGGGCAACGCGTCATGGTTTTTCTCGGGTTTTCCACCAAAAAAGTCGTGTCTCCTGTGCTCTCAATTTATTTGTGTATGCGTGAAATCTTCTTACAATCCTAAGACATTAAATTTTCTTTATTGTCGAAAATATCCCTGCACACAAGAATTACTACTTGGCTTCACTAGAAAGATGACTAATAATTTTTTGATTCTTTTCCATATTTCTGAATCTGGGTGTGATGCAGTTGATTTTTTTTGCCTTCTTAGCTTAATCTTTTCTTTCATTTTCTAGATTGATTCGTTTATTAAAAGTCAATTTTCATATATTATTGTTAGTTTGGAGCTACAAACCATAAGATTATGGTGTATATTGTGAGACAAATGAACCCTTCACTTTAAACCACTTGCTCAATGTCTTGCTTCTTCAGACGATAAACCTGAACTTGCTGATAAAATTGAATTTTCTAACAATGGCCTCTCTTAAAAATAAGAAAGCATGGAAGTGAAGCTACACACTTTATAAGCTTTATGAACCTCAAAATACCAATGACACGATCTATTGAATATTAAAATAAGCCTTGTAGGTAGAGTAGATGAAACTTTGCTTCCTAGGATTCTTTGTTGTTGGTTTGCATATCAAGAGAAATTTCACCGAAAATAGTATTATTAGTCACTATGAAGAGAATGAGCCTGGGTCCTTTTTTGTGGACTTTAGTACACTGACTTCCTATAGTACAGGTCCATGTCCGGAGCCTGGCATAGTCACAAATGTTATTGCCATGTTGAGCCAAAATTTTTTTTTATTATTATTACAGTGTGATGATCTTGGATACTAATTTATGCGACACCCTCGGCCTCCATTATCTTCCGAAAGTCTCTTCGTATGTATATAATAAGTGATTGCTATTAATGTGGAATGAGGAGGAAATTCTGCAGCACACTATAGGTCAAAGCATTAGCAAACATGTATATTTAGGCTTCATTTGGGACGATTTTTTTATTGCTTCTTAAAGCGACTTTCTAGTACAAACAATTTAATTTTTCACTAAAAAGCCGCTTTACTAAGCAATAAAAAAGCCGTCCCAAATGAAGCCTTAATGTTCTTTTGATTCCCCATTGATCCTTGTACAACTATTATTAAAAAAATGCATTTGTTTCTTTATTTAATTATGAACCTATTTTCTGATTTATAGTTTTTCTCCTCAAGCAGACACACTATGTATTGTTACTCTGTTCATTCAAAGATCAATTGCAACAGCATGTCCGATTTCATGCTATGGAAGCTGTGATGGCTTGCTGGGAGCTAGAGCAATCCTTACAAAGTTTGACAGGTGAATTGATAATTATAGCAATAAATAGCAACTGTAATTCATTTTCTTTATTTGAGTGAATAATAGGCTATCATTAATTTCTTTAGAATGCTCTTATTATCTATTCTTATAAATTTGGCGTGATTCACAATTAGTCTAGGGAGTCTAAGGCTTCGTTTGCGGCAGCTTTCTTACTGCTTTACAAAGCAGAGTTTTAGTATAATTTTTTTTTAATTGTTCTAAAACTCTGTTTTATAAAGCAACACGAAAGCTATCCCAAATGAAACCTAAGAGTTGTGATTTTAGTTAGTCTGATTGCATGCACAAGTTTAGTGAAACTCCAAAATTTCCTTCTAATGCATGCACATGTTTTTTGAAACTACGAATTTTTCTTCAGATATGTTGCAGTACAATTATTTATACATCTTCCTTAGCCATGATTAGTACATTTCTTGCTACAGCTTCGGTTAAATCTAGAATAGGACATGGAGTTTGAGCTCTAATGATAAAGTCTGGGAAAGGAAAACATTCAACAAATAGGGCATGGAGTTTGAGCTCAAATGCAAGAAAACATACAGCTTCTTTGCAGTATAGGAATCTTGAGGAAGCTTGTGGAGATTTATATATCACTTATCATTTCTTACCTTACAACATGGAATACACCATTTCAAACTCTATCTTTTCTAGTTGAGTTGATATACTCTGCGAGTGCTGAAGATAATATCCCCAATCGATACTGAGGTTTTGTTTGGGATGACTTTTTTACTGTTTCTTAAAGCAGCTTTCTAGTACAAAAATTTTAATTTTTGTATTAGATATCCGCTTTAAGAAGCAAGAAGAAAGCTGTCCCAAACGAAGCCTGAATCTTCTTTTGTAGTGGAATAATCTTTTTTACCACCCCTTGCAGAAGGAACGGTGAAATATTCTTGAAGTGAAAGTTACATACAGTAGAGCTGTTTCTTCCTTTCTCAGCAAGCCGTCAATCCAATGTTCAGTTGTTCCTATCTGAAAACCATTGTTATCCGCCAAAATTACTATAATGAGGCATTTTTAAATCGAACCTTAAAAATGGTAGTTGGTACCATGTAGACAATTTTCTCACACTTCTGTTTTTGCACTTGAAATTTTCAATAACTGTTTCCCTCCCACTTTGGTAGATGATTTCTGAAACTTGAAAGGCTCAAATCGAATTAATCTCTTGAACAATATTAACATATGGCTGCATAACAGAGAAAAGAATATTCCACCCTGGACCGGTCAGGGCTTACTCCCGGCGGAAGAAACCCAGCCAGGAGCTGGGCGGAAACCCCTAGGGGGGCCCACTTGTTGTATTTTGAGTTTTGGGAGGGAATTTTTGAATGAGAAGGGTAATTAGGTAAATTGTAATCCTCCTTTCATGTTTAATTAGGAGGAATAGGGGGAAGAGAGGGTTATCTTGAATTTGAATCATTTTTGAGATCTAGGGTTTGTGTTCTTGGGCTCTAGGCTACGGCTAGAGATTTGGAGAGTTTTTCCTTCCTCTCGAATTGAAGGAAAGTTGTATCTTGCAAGTGCTTTTCATTTCTCATTAAATAAAAGTGTTTGCTACGTTTCTCTTACGTTTTCTCCTTCGTTTTCTCTCTGAATCCACTGTTTTTTGGCTGTTTTCTTGTGTGGACAGCAGATTTCATCCTAGATCTACTTGGTTCTTGGTGTGAAACACTTGGAAATCCAAGTGTTTCCTATCACATTTGTAGATCAACATAGGATCAGGCATATAGATTAAGGCTCTATAGTGCTAAATTTCTTTTGTTTGTTAAAATGAATTAGTCAATCTAACTATGCTAATTAAAATTAATTATAATGTTGAGGAGTGTGGAAAAGATAGAGGTCAAAGTTGACTAGATACATCAGCGATCAAATTTATTTCTAACTCAAAAGTTTAAGCCATAAACTACTTGGATGTTTCAACACTAATATAATTTTTAACAATCCATTGTGTTACTAAACCGAAGATTCTTATGTGCCTTAAAACCTAATCCACCCTTCCCATGGAGTAGCTTCAGCTCAATTTCAAATGTTTGGGAATTAATTTAGGCTTCGTTTGGGACGGTTTTCTTATTGTTTCTTAAAGCAGCTTTTTAGTATAAAAATTAAAAATTTTGTACTAGAAAGATGCTTTAAGAAGCAATAATAAAGCCGTCCCAAACAAAATCTTAGTCTCTCCTTCTATAGAATTAGAAGTCAGATTATCCGGCATAACAAAAAAATGTTGGGATTTGTTCTGATTTAGGCCTTGCATATTACCTGTTTTTAAGGATTGCTTGCCTTTGCGTGAGTTAATTAATTCACAAACCGAAAAAAACTTTGCCCATCATGCCATTTCTTGTGTCACGCCAATGGAAAACTATTAGGTCCGAACACCGGCTGTAGAGGTATGTCTATACTCCAATAAAATATTGACATATGGAATGTACACGTGTCCGCAAAATTTTAAATCAAGCGCGCCAAAAGCACAGGTAAAGTGCAGGTAAAACGCAGTCAAAGTGCAGTCAAAAAGCGCAATCAAAAAGAGCTGTCAAAGCACAGTCCACATGTCAAATTTTAATTAGATATCGGGACCTATTTCTAAGTCCGGTGTCCGGACCTAATAATTTCCCACACCAACTTCCTAATAAATTAATTGATAAAGCCTCTTCTGACTTCAGGAGGACGACAAGGCAAGGCTGGTACAGGAAACTGGATTGCAGCTAAAACAGATAAACAACTGGTTCATAAACCAGAGGAAGCGAAACTGGCATAGCAACCCATCTTCTTCCAGTACATTAAAGAGCAAGCGGAAAAGGTAAATAGGCATACGATCTTTGTTCTTCTGGTTTACATCTTCGAATCAATCTTCAAGAACCCTACTTCCAACTTGGATTCTTAAAAGGAATGCAGGTGATAACAGCCCCACTGCTCCAAGCAAGTGATCGAAAGAGAAATGAACGAAAACCTATCGGATTGCTGATCTGGCGTGTAATTATGGCTTTGTTTGGGATGGCTTTCTTCCTGCTTCTTAAAGCAACTTTCTAATGCAAAAATTAAAATATATGTACTAGAAAGCCGCTTTAAGAAGCAGGAAAAAAGCCGTCCCAAACGAAAGCTATATTTGAATCTAAACATTAGAAGATTTTAAAGAGCTCGTGTAAAGAAATTTGCAGGGATGATCAAAAGCTATACAGATAATTGGTGTGATCAGAGAACTGATATCAGCATCCTGAGGAACTGGAGGCAGGGAGGGCTACATAGCAGGTTTCATTCTTCTATCCTTCAGTCTTTTACATGTTCATAGATAAAATGAGTACAAGAGTCTTTTCATCCTTTTTTTTTTGACTAAATGAATTATAAGGTTTAATCTTGATGCCCTAAATATATTTTTGAGAATTAATTGTGGTTGTGATGTAATAATATGTGTAACAATAGTGGCTGTTAGTGTGGAAAAAGGTTAATGTTAGAATTTATACATAGATAGGAGCCTGCTGTTTGTAATTTATTGAGGCTTGCTTCTCAGCTTTTTGTGGGATCAATGAGTCAATTGCTAAAACCCTACCTGTTCTTTATTAAATTGCTTGTTGAAAATTTTGTTAAGTTATCCTTATAAAATTGTATCATAATGGACTTAAAAATCAGTAGATTTACTTTAAGATTGGTGCAGTATAAATCCCTGATCAAGGAGAAAAGAAGTTTGTAACTGCTTTACGCTGGGGATAGACATCAATAGGACCAACATAGTGTGAAGCAAGAGAGAGTGTTCATGATGGGAGTGTCGGGGAAGGCATTTATAGACAAAAGTAGGCATGCAAAGGAGATGTTCTTGATGGGAGCATTAGGGTTAAAGCATGGAAGGACTGACTTGGCATCTGCTTAAATATAAGAGGGTTAGCCCTCTCTTTTAACGGTATAGCAAAAATATAACATTAATATAGAGATACTTCTTGGTACCAAAAATAGCAAAAGACTCCAAGGATTTCACATAAAGATAGATTTGTATTGATAAAGAGAATAAATACAAATCAAGATACAATGGTCCTCTTTTGAGAGGAGGATTGTCTCTCCCAAACTCTAGATGCTGCAAGGATCCCTCACACAAAGAACTACAACATTCAAAAATAAAAATCTATATAAGAATAAAATAAATCCTACTATAAACTTAAATTAAATTCCTCCTTCCCTCATAAATCAGCTCCTTCTTAAAGTGTTTCCCTCATCAATTAGAAGTTCAATTAGGGAAGGATTTCCTCCTAATATAATGTATTAATTTCCTGTTGGGCCTCACCTCCTCAACCGCCTCCTCCTCCTTGTCCGCCAAAACCACATGGGCCGGAATTTGCTACTGAGCTGTATCAATCCCCCCGCCCCTCCCTCCACCAAGCCCACCTTCTCTTAAGGTGAAATGCATGTAGCTACTACTTCATAGTCTGGTAGGACTCCCATGTGGCTTCGTGCTCTGGTGGGCCCTTCCACCTAATCAACACTTCCTGGCTTCCTCTTACTTCAAGTCGCACTCATGTGTCATCTAGTGTTCCAACAACAGCTCCATGTCCTCTGTCAAGATCAAGGGAAGTGTCGAGGAAGAAATATGCTCTCCTATCACCCATCGCAACTAGGATATATGAAACACTGGATGGATGGTTGTGGATAGTGGTAACTGTATGTGATAAGCCAATGCCCCTATGCACTCTACTATATCATAGGGCACAAAATATCGAAGGGATAAATGATCATTCGGTCTCCTTGCCATGATTTTGTCTATTGGGGCGAAGCTTCAAGTAAACCTTGTTTTCTACCTCAAATTGTATGTCTTGTATATATGCATCTACCTTATTCTTCGTAATTTGTTGAGCTCTCAACAAATGTACCTTCAACTCCCCCAAGATCTTGTCTTCATCTTCCAAGTATTTTTCTGCCGAATTCACTAGTGTGCCACTTTGCCCATAGTATATTAAGCGAGGCAAATCTTGTTCGTGCAATACTTTGAACAGTGTAGTCTGCTCTACCAAATGATAAGACGTGTTACACCAAGACTCTACCCAAGCCAACCACTTGGCCCACAACATGGGTGTATCTGATAAAAAGCACCACATATAAGCCTCCACACTACGATTTATTACCTCTGTTTGCTCGTCCGTCTGAGGATAATAAGCATATCTTCTTTTCAAGACCGTCCCTTGCATGTTGAACAACTCCTTCCAGAACTGGCTTAGGAAGATCTTGTCCCTATATAATATAATCACTTCTGGTATTCCATGAAGTCTCACCACCTCCCTTATAAATTTTTTTGCTATTGATATTGATGTATACGGGTGGAAAAAGGGGATGAAATTGGCATACTTAACCAGTCCACTACCACATGTACCGTCGTGTAAACTTCTGACTTAGGCAGCCCATCGATAAAATCCATGGGCATCTCCTCCCATACCTTTTCTGGCAAAGCTAGCAGTCGGAGGAGCCCTCATGGAATTATAGCTAAATACTTGTGCCTCAAGCATTTTTCACAGCTAGCCACCATTTTCTCAACATCCTTCTGCATCCTCTCTTAGTACAGCTCGGCAGAGAACCGACGATAGGTCTTCTGGGCCCCCGAATGCCCCCCAATGTCTGTCCCATGAAACTCCTGCAATAAGCTAGGATTTAAGAGGATGTCTTTGGAAGCACAAATGCTCCTCATGAAGTAACTTATGTCCTACTCCTGAATATCTTGGATGGTTGTCCTTGTTTCCTGCCAGCTCCACCCTAATTTTCTTCAGGCATGCATCATCTTCGCTCTCTCCAAAGTGCTTCCCGGTCAACTACCTAGGGTATAAACAATGCCATTATCTGGGATTCCCCTATGCACCTTGATAACCCATATGTTGTTTTGCTCTCCACTCTAGGTCAGTATTAGATTTTAAAGTCATAACCCAATAATTTGGAAAGCCATCTTTAATGCTCCTTAGTGACCATTCTCTATTCCAACAAATACATCAAACTTATTTTATTTGTTTTGACGATGAAATGTCTTCCAAGGAGATACGATCGTCATTTTTGAATAGCCAACACAATCGCCATCAGCTCTCTATTGTAAACTAACTTGAGTCTGGCCAGAGCCATCAACACCTGGCTGAAATAGGCCACATGTCTCTGGTTTTGCATAAGTACCGCTCATAGCCCAAAGCTCGAAGCACCTGTTTCCACAAGAAAAGGCTGGCTAATATTCGGAAGGGCTAAGATTGGCATACTGGTCATAGCCTTTTTCAACTCAAAGGCATGGGTGGTCGATTCTCCCCACTTGAAGTTGTCCTTCTTGAACTGTTTTGTTAATGGCCTTGCTATTTATCTGTATCCCTTCACAAGCTTGCGATAGTAGCCAGTAAGTCCCAAGAATCCTCTTAGTTCCCTTAGATCTTGGGTACGGGCCATCTGAGCATGGCCTCAATCTCTGATCAGCAATGAATCCCTTCTCAGATATCAAATGCCCCAAGTACTCCACTCTTGGTTGGGAGAAAGAATACTTTTTCTTGTTGGCAAATAAAAAGTGCTCCCTTAAAGTTGACAGCCCAACTTTAAGGTGCTCCAAGTGCACCACTTCGGACCTGTTGTAAACCAATATGCCATTAAAGAAAACCAACATAAACCTTCACAAGTAGGGCTAGAGTACCCTGTTCATCAGGGATTGGAAGGTTATTAGTGTGTTAGTGAGACCAAACAGCATCACCAAAAACTCATAATGCCTCTCATGTGTCTGATAAGCTGTCTTATGGGCATCTTTAAGTTGCATTCTGATATGATGATATCCAAATTTCAAGTCAATCTTGAAAAAGATCACAGATCCATACAATTCATCTAACAACTCATTAATGACATGTGTGAGTTGTCTTGTATCATCTCCTTATTCAAGGTGTGATAGTTTACCCAGAAAGGGCTGACACTGGGCCTAATGATTTTAGCTTCAATCATATCTCGAATCAGCTTCTCAATATCATCTTTTTTGGATCTGGGGGTATCGGTAGGGCCGTACGTTGATGTGGGGTACTCCCTCTTTCAGAATAATAGAGTGCTCGTGCTCCCATGGGGGTGGTAATCCCTGGGGAAGCTGGAATACCTCCCTAAACTGATGAAGCAAGGGCTAGACAATGTCTGGAATGTCCTCTTCATCCTTTCCCTCTTCCCTCCAGACTTTGGAGCTCCACCAAGAATCCCCCTCCTTCCCCTTGAAGGGTACACACCATGGTTTTCAATGAAACCATTGCCTTAGATAAGTTGGGGTCTCCCTTAATTACCACTCTTCTCCCCTCCAATGAAATCTCAATGGCCAAAGCCTTCTAGTTCACCTTGGTCTCCTCAAAGGTCTATAGCCATTTCATGCCCAAAATCATGTCAGTACTCCCTAGCTCTAATGGAAGGAAATCCTCCTTGATGTGGATCCCTTGCAAGTCTACCACCAAACCCTAATATATCCCTCTGCTACTCTCTACTTTTCTTGCACCCATCATCACTCCAAACCCTCTCGCATCTACCAGTTGTTGCCCCAATTTGTCTACCTCCTTATTTGTTATGAAATTGTGGGTAGCCCCCCCTGTCCACTAGGATCATCACTGCCTCTCCTCCTATATGTCCTCTTACCTTCATGTGTGATTCAGAGTGAATCACACTACAGAGTTCAATGAAACTTTAGCCACCTCCAAATGCACAGGCTCCTCTTCCTCTTCTTCCTCCTTCGATTCCTCTTCCTTATCCACCTCTTCCCCATCGCATACAATGAAAACCTACAATGTGCAATTTTTAAACTTATATCTTGATGTAAATGTCTCATCGCATCTAAAACATAGCCTTTTAGAGCTCTCGTCTTGTAATTCAGTATCAGTCAGCCTCTTGAAATCTCCTCTCAATTGGGCTCTCGTACAACCCTCTTTTAGCGTCTCTTTTTTATTTGGTATAGTATGCACCCTAGGTGCCAGGAAAGTAGTTGTCGTGCAGTAAGAACCTCCTCCACTTCCCCCTTTACTACTCTTATATAGTAACTTTTTTGTTCTCAATCATCTATGCCAACTCTATTGCCTCTCCCAGATCACGAGGTCTTGCCACCCGCACTTTATCCTCAATTTTGATTTGAGTCCTTTCATAAAGTTTATTTCCAACATTGCTTGATAACCTCTCTACTTGTCCTGACAGGAGCTAAAATCTTTCCCGATACTCTATCACAGTGCCATCCTGTGTCAAGACAAAGAATTGCTCATAGTAATCCTCATCCTTTTAGGCTTGAAAGTGCTCCAACAAGTATTCCTTGAACTCATCCCACAATCGGATTAGGTACCTAGCCTCTCACTATTGGTACCATGCCAGTGCCTTCTCTTCAAGACATAGAGCGGCGACCATCAACCTATTCAATGTAAAATATCTCACCCTATATATACACCCATGTGCATCATTTCCTTCAAATATAAGCAATTTCAGCTTTCTAATCTTTGGATCCCCTCCACCCTAATGCCCCTTTCCACCCCCACACCTTCCATTAGGGGTGTAAGTGAGTCGAGCTGGCTCGAGCTCGACTATTTTATGGGCTCGCGAGATGAGTTTATCGAGTTTACGAGTTGAGCTTGAGCTTGAGCAAGCTCGGCTCGTGAGCTCGCGAGCCGGCTTGTATAAATATTAATATTTTTAAAATAATTTTATTTTATTTATTAAATTTAAATATTAAAAAATTTAATGAAAATCGCCTAAATTTTATTTAAATGTTAAACATTTCATCTTCTTTTTTTTTTTCTAAATTTTGACTAAGTTTTAAAATTCATATTTAAGTTTTAAAAATCCCGCCTAAATTTTAAAATTCTCGCCCATGGCTCGCGAGCTGGCTCGAGCTCGTTTACAGTGAGACGAGCCTGAGTTTGAGCTCGCCTATCGAGCTCAACTCGAGCTCGAGCCTTAGTTCGAGCTTGCTTCCCAACTGGTGAGCCGAGCTCGATAAGGGCTTAAACTCTCCTCGACTCGACTTGTTTAAACCCTACCTCCCATGGTGCGAGCATTGTGGTCTTCCATAGTTCCCTCTCTTCCCTTTTCTATTCAAAACCCCTCCTTCCTCCAAATTTAGCTCGCATGTTCTCTTCTTCCCATTCCCTCCTTCCTACATACTCCCTACCCATCCCCCTTCTCGAAATAGGCGCCAAGTGGGGTGTTTCCTCTCGTATAATTTTCACCTCTTCGTCTTCCCTTAGCAAGTCATCTACTTAATTTCTTCTTGCTCCCATCAAAATCGTTTTAGTATGAAGCTCTAGCATCTGCTTCTTCATTTCCTCCATGTTCCCAAACATTCCTTCTATCATTGAAATACATTTATTCATTGATCCCACATCCACTCGTAGTTGCCCTATTTCCCCTTCCAATCTTTCTTCCAACACTTCAACTTTTTTTCCAACCATTGGTACCTGGATCAAGGTTCTCTCGGTGAAAAATAACAACTTTGAAGCAGTTATGGCCTCCAAACAACAGAATTCAGCATATGGTATAAAAGATCGAAGTAGAAATCAGTTATAAAAATCTGGATTTCAGTCCAAGAACGTGCTCTGATACCAATTTGATATGACTTGATTCCAAAACAGCAAAAGACTCTAAATGATTCTACACAAAAAATAGATTTTTATTGATAAAGAGAACAAATACAAACCAAATAAGATACAATGGTCCTATTTCAAGAAGATGATCTTCTCTCCCTAAACCCTAGATGCCGCTAAAATCCCTCACACAAAGAACTACAACACTCAAAAATAAACAAACTGCATAAAAATAAAATAAACTCTATCATTGACTTAAATAAGCTTCCTTCTCCATCCTAAATCAGTCTCCTTCCTAAAAGTATTTTCCTCAATTTGAAATTCAATTTGGAAAGGATTTTTTAATTGATTTTCTCCCAATATAATGCATTAATTCTTAATTGTTTTTCTCCTAATTTTCTGGTGGGCCCCACCCCCCTTTACCTCCTCCCTCTCCTTATCTGCCAGCCCCATATGGGCCGGAATTTGCTGCTGGGCAATATCATATAGTTGAAAAGAAGGCTTCCTTTTTCTTTCTCCCATCAATTTTGATAAAGAGTCAATCAAATCACTATACAACTTTATATTTATATATTTACCATTTGAATATTTTATCACGTTCAATGGATTGGCTTGTGGGTGCATGCTATTTAACATAAGAAAGTGGCATTCTTTTATTATTTGGAAATTCTTGGTAATTGAGCTTTGTCATCATACTCATTTTGAATTATTTGCTCAAAATTTGAGGAAAATCATTAAGTCATTACAAGCATAAAAAAGTAAAATAAAATCTACATAAATCAAGTTAAGTAATAAATCAAAACTTGATCTTTTAAGGAATAGAGTTGTCTTGATGATTCCTTCATTAAATTCATTTTTTAATGGACTTATGCTCAATATTTTTTAAAAGATATGAAATGAAAATGAGAATAGCTTGAATTATGCTGGTAATAAGCGAGTCCAAAAAAGAGGTTAATAATGATTGTTATTGCACAAGACCAGCAATAAACTAGGAGTGCCAAGAACTTGACCCGACCTGCGTACTCGGATCCAACCTGAAAAATTTCGAGTTCATGTCAACTTGTTTACCATAAAGGTTGGGTTCTGGCTCGAGATTCTTGACCTATTTCTAAAACTGGGTTAGGTTCGAGTTGACCAAAAACCCGAGATCAACCCGAATGGCCTGGAAACCCTAAATCCTCTATCGTGCTCGATCATTCGATTCTGATTCACGTCTCTGTCTGCTGCGTCTTCCGGCCTCACCTAGTTGCTCGCAGGCCCTACACCAGCCAGCCAGTTGCTTCACCGCAGGCTCCGCATATGCCAGTTGCTTCGCATGCTCTGCTTCGAAGCGACTAACCCAGTCAGGATTGGTGCACCACACATGCCAGCGGTCAGCCGCGTCCATTCATGATTCGATTCGCCTACTCACCACCGATGAGCCACTTCGCCTGCCTCGCACCAGCCAGCAGTCAGCTTTGCCCGCCCACACTGGCTTCGTTTGTACCCGCTTCACTTGCTACCAGCAATCCGGGTTTGCGGGTTGGGTCCGTTCAACCCATAACCCGCACGGTTTAGGTTAGGGTCAACCCGTTTGAACCCGGGTCAATTTGGGTTGGATTTGAACACAACCACTTGACCCGTTTGGACACCCCTACAATCAACCAACATTAATACAAGCCATTGTCATTGCCTAACATCATCCATCAACTAACATCAAAACCTATCATACTGTCACTCATAAAAATATTTTAAAAAAAAAATCCCACCATTAGCCATCACTTGACATCACCTTTCAACAAACTTCAGCATACAATTTCATTGACATCCAACCTGACATTCAGTGTTTGTTTTCACAATTGTCAAGTTCTCCACCTTATATAAAGAATGAGCAAACCAATTGCCGACTGGTGCTTGACTTATGATGTTCCCTATCAGGGATTCATACAAACAACCAACATCCCCATTAGCCAACGACATTTTAGGTCTATTTTATTTCACAATCTCCCTTCCTATCCAGAGAACACAATTGAAAGAATGATCAATTGTCGCCAAACTTCTAATGTTCCTCATCAATCATCGTACAATGCATGTCAGTGATCGACGTCCATCAACTACCAAAATTCGATGTCTATCTTATATGTCGCACAATCTCTTCTACTATCATTGGAATGAAAAAAATCATCATTTGTCTATCAGCTAACTCTTAGCATTTCTCATCAACCATCACCTTTCATCTACCAATGATCCATATCTAATGTATGTCAACCACCAACGTTTAATGTTTGTCTTCTTGGCCCCCTCAATCTCCCCTCATATAAAAATAATGATCAAGCCAACTATCAATCATCACCGGACTCGTAACATTTCCTAGTTAATTATCATGTGATGCTTGATGTATGATGTTTATCCGCTCTATCGTGTGCCCTTCACTCATTTCAAGAGAAAGATTGAGCTAACTAATAACAATCATCTAACTTTTAATGTTCCTCATTGATAATTGTTTGATGCCTACTAATAACCTACATCTAATGTCTATCAGCCTCCGACATTCGATACCCATCCAATCTCCCTTTCTATTAAGCAAAAGATCAAGCCAACCACCAACCATTACACGATCTTTGAAATTCCTCATCAACTTTCATTTGATACTAATGATTGACATAAAACGGTCGTCTTTTTGGTCATTTGATCTCTCCTCCTATTCTAAAGAATGCCAATCCAACTTCAATCAAAATCTAACTTATAATGTTCCTTATTAACTATCATCTAACACCTTCTAATACTTCATGCACCAATATTTGACACATTTCTTTCTAATCCCCAAGTCCCCCCCACCCCCCACAATTAACCCCACAACATCACATAATGACAACTCAAATATCTTAAAACTCCTGCAAATAGAACCATAGAATAATAATAATAATAATAATAATAAGATCCCTCCTATAATATTTTGCTCTAATTATGGAGAAATAAATCATACATAATTATTGACTCATAATCTTGGAAATATTTTAACTAAATTACTTTTTTCCTTCTCATAAATTATGATTCCTATAAATTGTTCTTATATATACAAAATAAAGTTGATAAATTCTATGGCTACCGCCATAAATATTCCAACATATAACCAGAAGATCAGGATCTCAAACATAACAAGATTACAAATCTGCAAACTCCTAATTCACACGATATAAGCACAGAGGAAGGCTTGGATTGAATCCATCAAAGAAAACCAGATCAATGACGCTGCCATGAATCGTTGACCGGATCTTCTGCTTCAGCGATAGCAACCAAGTTAGCGACCGGCGGCGACAATTTCGGAGCTAGGAAGGCCAGGAAGCCCCAGTTACAGATTGAGAAGATGATAAAAATAGCAGATCTGAAAGCCTCCATCTCTCCAACGTTCTCCTAATTCACTAACACACCACACCACATCCGGCTCTGGAAACACGAGAAACAATCCACAAAGTCTCAATCGCCACGATATGCTAGCCGAAGGCAACGCCGACGACTGTATGAGGCGGTGACGCCGGGAGGCGAGCGGAAAATCTCCCGTACCGAGTCTCCTCAGCCCCTGCTCCGTCATCATCCTCACCGCCTTCATCAAAGTTCAGAGCATAACTAACCGCATCGTACCTGAACTCTCCACATCCCTGACGCGACGATTCACCCTTCCCAGCCAACATCCCTATATACCACTCTCTGATATCGGGAAGCTCGCCGACTTTCGCTCGGATCCACGACGATGAAGATCGGAGCAACGAGGCCGCCACCATCGGCGGCTCCTCCTCCGCCACCGCGCCACCAAAGCAGCAGTTCAAAAAGCTTGTCGATTGGATCTTCTTCAATGGCGGCGACAGCTGCGATTTTGGGTACTCCATGTCCTTAACTGACATCGGGTTGAATTGAACGACGGGTATTTAAAGGAAAACTAATTTTGTTTTAGCACGAAATTTAAAGTCAATATTGAAATTAGTGAACATAATTATATTAATTTAACATAAATATTAAAACAATATAAATTATTAAAATTATACGAATTTAATTTTTAGATAATTTTTAGCACGTAATATACAATTTTGATATATTATCACAATTTTTTCGACGAATTTTATTTCATCAACATCCGTTTTATTTACCAACCGATCCTCCGACAAGTATTTGTCAAACATAAAAATATGATGCAAATATAAATAAATAGTTATTGTAAAATGATGTTAATACATTTATTTTTTCTACACACACATTAGCTTTATTGAAATGATTAAAAATATTTCAAGATTCTTATATTGTTATTCTTCTTCTTTCATCATTTTTTTTTTCCACTTCTTTCATCATCCTTCCTATTTTTATACTCACTTAGTCTTCTTTTGGGACAACTTTTTAAATGCTTCTTAAAACAATTTTTAATTTTTGTATCATAAAACAGTTTTAAAAAGAAATAAAAAATTCGTCCCAAACGAAGCCTTAATGTTAAGATGAGAAATTTTGAGGACCTCAAACTTGATGAGGTATTTAACCTAAAAATTATTTCTATTATCTTTAAAAAAAAAACACTTGTTAATTCTCTAATGATTTCTCCTTTGATGAGCTCTCTTCTTCAAAGGACCTCAACTTTGGATGACTTCAATATAATCAAGAGTGAGATATTCGATACCTTGACCTGAATACTTCGTTTGATGAATTGCTTCAAATGTTAAAACTTATTGAACGGAGTTTATATCAGTGACTTAGGTTTTGTTTGTACTAAAAAGTTACTTTAAGAAGTAGTAAAAAAGCCATCCCAATTGAAGACTTAGGCTTCGTTTGAGACGGCTTTTTTGTTGCTTCTTAAAATAGCTTTCTAGTATAAAAATTTAAATTTTTGTACTAAAAAGCTGCTTTGAGAAGCAACAAAAAAATCATCCCAAACGAAGTCATAGTTGACTGAAACCATATGACTATGGGTGTACATTGCTTCCTCTATTTTCGTGTTCTTTTGAAGAAATAGAAAAAGAAAAGAGAATAAAATTTGAAGGACTTAACGTAGGAGAGCTATCATATTGGCTATGATTGAATTTATACAAACATCAACATTATTGAAATGCTTATAAGTTTTTATTCTTGATGGTCTTTTCAAGGTTCTTCAATTGCTTGAGATGAGCTCTAATTATGCATCAATTCTCCTCTACTTTCAAAAATTTTGCTATGTAGAGTTCTAACTTTATAGTTGGTATAATAGTAACCTTCACTAAACATATCATGGCTTATGCAAGGTTATAAAAAATTCTAAGTTTTGTAGGAGATGATGGCAATGCTTTACATGATAGATAGAGGGTTGGCTTATCAACAACAACAACATCAAGCCTTTGTCCCACTCGGCTTATCAAGTAGATAATTTTATTTTATATGTTTGAGAGTCGTGACTATTTGTATTAGCTCATATTTCAGTTATTTATTATATTTTTTTATCATATTTATATTTTCTCTAAATATTTGTAAGTTTTACCAAAACATTCTTTAAATATTTTAAAGTTACTTATGACCCACACAAAGAAAGTCATGATTAATAGATTTGTGAAAAAAAATGTGGGATATTTAGTGTTTTATGGCTTATGGAGATTTAATAATTATGAGAAGGTCATAAACATTTCTTTAAATATTTACAAGTTCAACGGAGATCTAAGAATGCATATGCTCTAATTCACAACTAAATGTAGAGGAATCTGTTTAGGAAAACCTTAGGATATTTCACTGTTATTATAGTTAAATAATCATAACATGTAGAAAATTTCACATTGATATTATCAAAGTGTATTGTTTTTATGAGGTAATTTCCAATTCTCCAATCTCCAATGTTGCTTTGGTTCCAATGTAAAAGAAAATTTCTCTATTTACTATAGTGCCCAATAGATGTGAGTTGTATGTATGGGTGCAAACGAGTAGAGTTGAGCTCGAGTCAGGCCTAATTCGAGCTCGATTTGCAGGCCTAATTCCGAACTCAAATTCGCAGCGAGCTTGAGCTCGATTTGTGCCACTGAAAATGACCTCATTGAGCGCTCAATTCCGTAGTTCTAGCTCTGCTTTCGCGTACAGGACCTGCCCTTTCCTTCCGCGATTCTGCCTTCTAATCCGAGCTAGCCTTCCGCGTCCGAGCTCGCTTTCCGTGTCTGAGCCCGCCCCGCAATTTTATGAGAAGGTCATAAACATTTCTTTAAATATTTACAAGTTCAACGGAGATCTAAGAATGCATATGCTCTAATTCACAACTAAATGTAGAGGAATCTGTTTAGGAAAACCTTAGGATATTTCACTGTTATTAATTATAGTTAACTAATCATAACATGAAGAAAATTTCACATTGATATTATCAAAGTGTATTGTTTTTATGAGGTAATTTCCAATTCTCTAATCTCGAATGTTGCTTTGGTTCCAATGTAAAAGACAATTTCTCTATTTACTATAGTGCCCAATAGATGTGAGTTGTATGTATGGGTGCAAACGAGTAGAGTTGAGCTCAAGTCAGGCCTAATTTGAGCTCGATTTGCAGGCCTAATTCCGAACTCAAATTCGCAGCGAGCTCGAGCTCGAGCTCGATTTGTGCCACTGAAAATGACCTCATTGAGCGCTCAATTCCGTAGTTCTAGCTCTGCTTTCACGTACAGGACCTGCCCTTTCCTTCTGCGATTCTGCCTTCTAATCCGAGCTAGCCTTCCGCGTCCGAGCTCGCTTTCTGTGTCTGAGCCCGCCCCGCAATTTCACCTTCCACATCCAAGCCCGCGGCGCAACTCCACTTTTTGCGGTTCAGATTTCGCACTCGAGCAACTCAACAAGTAATCAAGCCGAGCTTCCCAAGGATCGAACTCAAGCTCGATAACCCAACGAGCTCAAAATTCTGCTCTAGCTCAAGCTCGAGCTTGAAACTCGACTCGTGAGCTCGTTAACGAGTTGAGCTCGAGCCGGCTCGCAAGTTGGCTTGACTCGGTTGCACCTCTAGTTGTATGCAATCATTGTCTCTAGTTGCCAATATCTCAATTTTTCTATAATACCAATTCAATGTGAGTGGTGGGGTGATATTAAAATCTTTCAAGGTTCTTTGACAAGGAAGGAGATTGTTAAGAAAGTGATGATGGTATGAGAAGAGGTTAGGGCTAATATCTAAGGCAATGAAAAAGGTCTGATTAATTCAATATTTTTGGACAATTTTTTTCTGAGAATTGTTTACAGTGAATGACTATATTGTCTTTGATAGAAAGGATTAAAGACATTGAAATTAGAGTTCTAGGAATTGAAATAAGGAATGGAGGATATTTTAGACCAATTTTATAGGTGGATAAGACATTATAATTTTTTTTAGACTGATCACATCAGGAAAACAACCTGAGTTGTAATTTTGTGGAAGGGATATGACTCAAATTTTATGAGTCCTATGGTGGTTTGAGGTTTTAGAAAGATGGTGGGAATGTTTTAGAAAGAGGAAATCATTAATATAGGGTACATGATGATATCAGCATGAAGAATATAAGAGCAAGCAAAATAACTAGCTTCTCCCACCAAAGAAAAGCTAAAGGCTAGCTACCAAACAGTGACCATTCAGCAATCAGAATCAGAATTTAAAACAAAACAGGAAGAAATGATATATTATAACTTTAAAAGAGACGCAAATTTTTCATAAATTCAAAATCTACAAAGACTCGTTTTTCAGCATAATTTTCATACTAACAATACCTACAAGTAATACAGCTTGGCAACAAAAAACAGGCCGCAAAAGTTTTGATCTCTCAATCATTTGTCTTAGAGTACACATTCACCGGATCGAGATCTCAAAACATTAAAAAACAATTCGACCAAATCTCATTAATCACACGCTATAAACACATCAGCTCCATGATTTTACCGTAGCTAGCTGAAGGCCGGATGCGGCGGCGTCGACGGTAGGCGAGAGGAGAAGTTCCGGTACGGGAACTCCTTAGCATCGTCGGCGTCATCGCTCCCCCCGCCTTCATCAAAGTTGAGAGCGTAACTAGGCGGATCGTACCTGAACTCCCCATATTCCCGACGCGACGATCTACTGATTCGCGCCATTATCTCCTTACACCGCTCCGTGAGCTCTGGAAGCTCGCCGGCCTTGGATCGGATCCAGATCGAAGAAGATCGGAGTAACGAAGCCGCCGCTGGCGTTCCCTCGTCCCCCTCCGCCTCAGCGCCGCGGAAGCAGCAGAAGAACCAGGCTGTGAAGCTCACCTTCTGCTTCAAGGAAGTCGTCGGTGGCGAATTTCGCCAGTTCATATTTGATTGGAGAATTAGGGTTTTGACAATTGCTCTGTGTCAGTACTGTGCGTTCTGCTTTGGGGATGGATTCAGGGGGTGCTCCTTTTATAGCTCCAGCGGGCGAAAAGACGGATAAAGACTAAGTAAGCGAAAGCCGGTGACCACTACCTGTTCTTAGTTCCGAGAGAAAAAAGAACCGTGCATTGGGGGTATAATCGTCATTTCCCAGTTGTTTTGCGTAAAGCTGAGGTTTACCAACGGTCTACACACGGAATTTTTTTTTTACTACAATATATTTAATTCTAATAAATTCATGCATATATTTAATTATTATTAAAATTTTGAAGTTAAATTTCACTTAATACTTACATAATTACATGCTTATATTTTTACATATTTTATTAAAAGATAATATTATATTCCCCTAAGTACTTAATTCGTGAGGTTGATCTCTTATTTTTGTATTCTTTCTTCTCTAACCTTCTCTACGTTTGGTGTAATTTTAGCTTATGATATTATATAGAATTATCATGCATGTATGGTGTCTTATTTGTTGAAGGAGCTTCAATACATTCATTCTCATATGATTTTTTTTTTTATTTTTTTTTTCTTTTTTCTTTAGGGATGGATGACAGATTGACAGTAGCGGGTAGCTTTTTGGTGATATTAATGACTATAATAGACTAAAAATCTTTTGTTTAATATTAAAAATATAGATTTTATAGTGAAATGATTAGGAGTTTAATGTGATATATTATGAACTAATTTGGGATTGATTTAGAAGGTCTTTGATGGTAGATTTTATATGGGATAAATTACTAAAAATGATGTTGAATGATTAACTTAAGATATGAAGTTATGATATAGAGTAGATGATAGAGTTTGATAGAATTTTAGGAGATGTTGAGGTCCATGGAACAAGACAAGATTCGAGTGTTTCCTGATTTGGATGAGAGTTATATGAATGTGTTTAAAAAAGTTTTAAGTTTTAGTTTTTGATTTATTGGTTTTACTGAATACTTATGAAGCGGAGAAATATACTTGAAGAATTTGGAATAGGAGTCTAAGAAGAGTAATAAGTAACTTACAGAAAAGATAAAGATAACTATATAAGTCATCAATGATAGACAAATTATTTGAAGATGCCAAGTACTAAGTAAATAAAGATCACTTCTCTACGAAAATATTTTATTCATCAATCAAAAGTTATAAAGAATTTCAACCTATATACTTATATTATTACAAAACCCTTGGACAAACACTTTTGGAGAAAAAATTGGAGGAAAAAAAAAAGAGGGGAATGGAGGTTGGTTATCATTAATGAGAAAGACTTTCAAACACTTATTTTTAATGCTCTGTCCATACCAAATCATTTAATAGCTGGTCATACAAAATTAAATATAGAAAACTAAATACATATCGTATTTGCAATTTTTTAAAATTTGGGCTCGTGTAATTGAATATTTTTCTTTAATATTTTCTTTGGACTTTGATCTTAGCTCTTATAATAATTTGACTTTTATAATTATCATATTTATCCACATTCTTTGCTATATCAAGGGATCTAATACATCATTTTTCAATTACACTTGGCTTAGTGGGTGTTCTATAGAAAAGGTGTTTAGAGCTAATGTTCACTCTCTTTTTTTTCAAATGAGGCTAATATCAATACAATTTTCTTAAAATAGTTAGGCGATTAATTGAACTTCCTCATCAAGTTTTTCAAACATGCATCAACAACATTAAAATGCCCATCTTTCTTTTTACATAGATAAGTTATCATTGAATGGTAATAATATTTTCATATTTTTTTATACCAAAAATATATTAAGTAATGAAAGACAAAATATTTTATGATCTAAATATATTGAGGGTTTCAAAGGCTTCTCTTTCAAATTCTCACTTTATATCTAGATGGCTTGCTTTGGGGTGTTAAAATTGCTGATAATTTTGAATCATAAACATGAGGCATTACTATGAGTGAAACTTTTGTATTTGCAATCTATAAATAGAAATCCACACTCATCATTTATTTAGGCGTGTGTGTGTGTGTGACCAGGTTTCTTCTTCCCGAATATTAATATTTTTTTGGCACTTCTTTATTTCAATTGTTAGATCTAGCTCTATTCAATGCCATTATATTATAAACAGTATTTACCTTATTATTGTGACTAGTGTCATTTATAATATTTAGTGTCAAAAAAATGGGATGTTGCATAAAGTGGGAGATATAAATCATATTGCATGTTGGAATAAAATTTAATAAAAAACTTTAATGTCACTTAGTTCTTTTAACTCTCTTTATTGAGTCAGTTATTCTTAGTCTACAACATTTACAACTAAGTATAATGCCTCTTGCTTATCCTCTAGCTCAAACTAGAAATGATCTCAAGAAAATTCAATTTGAGCTTGGTATGATTGTTTAATCAAGACGAGAAAATTCCATTTGGCGACTTCAATATCATTCTAGGATCACTTTCTAGACTAAGTTCTTAGTTTAACAAAAATCTTAGCTAGTCTATTTAATCCGTAAGTTAAGCTAATTAGGATGAACCCCAGAATAATCATAAAAATCATTTGAACTTCATAAAATATAGGAGGAAACCCTAGGCATTTCAAATCAAGATCTTGATCTATCATCTTTTTAAGAGTATTCTTGGGTTGAACTCTAATACTGGCTTAATCCTTATTGAGTCCGATAAGCTAATTATTATAATATGCTTCTAATTTTCCTTTATTGTCATTTAATTATGTTTAAGATAATTTTAACCATTGAACGTTCTAATTTGATCCATTGTCTTAAGTTTAACTCACTATCTACCAAGGCTTCAAATCCTACAATCCTCTGGATCTATTGGTCACTTTAGACCAATTGATCCAATCTTGTTTAACCATCAATCCTAATAGGATTCAACATGTTAGACATAACTTAATTGAGCTACATGATCCTTTAGATTATAGCTTGGTTGAACCACTTAAACTATTTTGACCAATTTGATTAAATAGAATCGAGCTATCCTTCGGAATATTTACCAATTGATTAATCATATGTGATTTGAGCTTGATGAACTATTAAACCCATTGTAAATGAGCAATGGTGAAAATTAGCATCATTTGATAAGGAATGATAAACAAATAATGGTAGCGTGGCTCTAAGTTTCTCTATGAATCCTAGATTTCTCTCTACTAAAATTTCCCCTCTCCCATGTGTAGAAATAGATTATATTATAAATTTCTAGAGGTGTAAGACTATACCATACTCTTGGACACTCCATTGGATGGTCTAGTAAGGTCCCATTGATCTTTAATACTTTTTTTTTTAACATGGCAATACCTTAAAGTGCTTAAAATTAAATGCTCATAGACTCATTAAACTTTTTTAGCTAGAATCTCATTTTTAATAGAAACACATAGATGTTGAAAAAAAGTTTGGCTCTCCCAATGCTCTCAATAATCGTCAAATTAAGCTTTTAAGTGTTTGATTTAGGCCAATTTAGACTCAGACTTTCTTTCTACCATTTTTATTTCACCGAAATGCTCGAAAACATCGACATCTTACTATTTGCTTCAAAATCATACTTATTCAAATGGATTTTTTTGTTGATGTGTCAATAGCTAAGATTATCCAACTCTCTCTACCATGTACCAACTCAACTTCTCTCATTCTTCTTGTTGTAGCATAATAATATTCAACAAATTATAAAAAGGCAAACTTGCAAGTGCCATTTCATCATTATAAAAACTAATAATCAATTTATAAATAAAAAATTAAGCGAGAGAAAAATGAGAACAAAACAAAATTTATAAATTAAAATGGAGGCAAACATACTCATATAAAAAAAATAAAAAAATTTCTTTATGACACCCTATCCTGGCTCAGGCTTCATTTGAGATCATTTTCTTACTGCTTAAAATAATTTTTTAATAAAAAAATTTATACTAAAAAATCACTTTAAGAATCAGTAAGAAAGCTATCTCAAATTAAATCAAAATATATATATATATATATATATATAATTTATATAATTTATTTATT